AACCCTTCTGAGGGACTTTGCACTGGGTCAGGTTCTGCCTCCGCTCATCCCCCCCACCTCCCCGACATCTGGGACCTAACGTGCATGCACAGAAAGTGCCGCACTGGCATTAGGACTACCTCATAGGAAATCATTAAATCAATTCTTTCCTATGGGGTTTTAGCAGACGCTGGATGTCCTTTTGCAGATCGTATGAACATCCAGCTCTGTTAGGCAACCAAAAGTTACTCTAGTGACTGTCTGGTAGACGCCCACTAGAGGTGGAGTTAACTCTGCATGGTAATTATTGCCGTTTAAATTGACATGGCCAGTGCACCAAGACCACTATAATGAGCTGAAGTGGTCTGGATGCCTATCATGTCAATTGAACTCTCTCAATATCATGTCTCGTCCACCCCTAACCCTCTCCAGGAAGAGATTAACTGGCCACCTATGAAATGAGGATCACATAGGATTGGACTGCCTGGGTTCTAAGTTCTGCGTGTTTTCTCTACCTTATATACACAATTAAAACAGTTTCTCCTAACCTTGAAGTAATGAGGGTAGTTCGTGCTCTATAAATAAAATTATAAACTCCTGATCGAGTCTGTATAAACAGATACACACCACAATCTTCTAAATACGGATCTGACAGAACAGACGACCCAATTTATGTTTTCTTCTTTAAATTACACGTTAACCTTACTGGAACAGCAGGAGAGTGAACATTTTAATTATTAATGTATCAATTATTATTACTGGTTAGTAATTATCTCCTCAAGTTGTGTGGCATTGCTGGACACACTCTACTGTGATAAAGAGAGAAATATATCTTAAGCGTTGGATAGTAATCATTGCTGGGAGTGTCTCACATATATTTACATATTAATATGTCACATTTAAGAGTTTTTATAGTGAATGCAATTACCTATCACACTGCAAGTTCAGCCGGTATTTCTGTACGAAAAGAATTGGCAAAATTCATTTAAATTTTGACCGACAGATACAGTCTGGTGCATGATTATCTCATCTAAACAGAGAGATTAACATTTATTACCTGCCTTTAGATCACAAAAGGTCAGAAAAAAAAATTGTTGTTTTTTATTTTGTTTTTTTTGGACACAACAGTGAAAAATAGATTAATACATTTGTTAAAGCGACACTATAACATCAATTTTCTTGCTGCAATGGTTTGAGGATGTTCCTTGTCTCGCCTTTTTCCTGACAATAATTGCTTAAGCCCTCCCCTCTCAGACAGACAGAGAGGGAGTAATGCACTCCCCCAATACAAGTACAGTATGCACCCACTAGGTGGGTGTACACTAACCAAGTCCCAACCTAGACTACTAGCCTTTATATACGGGTAACTATTTTTTAGCAGCGTAGCCACAGGTTCACTTCATCCTATAATATGAATGGAAGGTCTACGGCCTGCGCTATGTTATAATCCAGCAGCGAGCTATGAGCCCCTTTGAAAATAATGGCAACGTCAAGAATGGCTGAGCAAATTCCTGCTTTGGCTAGCTCACTGCAGAAACAGCAAGTTGTGCGGATTCTCAGTAAATGTAAGAACTCCAAAAGCAGAGTGTCATTTTTCATTTATTTTATTTTGTTTTCATATTTCATTATAGTGATAATGCATTAAAAAAAAAAAAAAAGGACGCAGATCAACTCCAGCCTAGAGTCATTTTATCCTCCACAGACGAGTTCCCCTCATAGGATGCCTTTCAGTTCACAATTGAATCCAAGTGAACTTCCCATTTTGTTAAAGAAATGAAGACGTTTAGTGTTTCTCAAATGGTTTGGCTACTTTCATCTATTGTCCCTTGTAAAAAGTTAGTGTCCTGTGAGATTGTGCCAGCGGGCAGCAGATCTGCTCTCCTATTAAACACCATAGGAAGCAATCGCAACACAATATGTCTGCAGTGTATCATACCCTGCTCTCTGCGAGCAATGCCGGGGCTTCTAAGCCAAAACATCTCACCAGCGCTTAACTGTGTCTAGAAAGACACGGAGGACATTGTCAAACTGTCAGAAAATTGGGATCTGCCCTTTATAGTAGCACACGGACCTGAAAAGGGTCCAGATTTGTTATCCAACATAATATTCTGGAGCTTTAAAGAGAAACGGTCACAAACCTAGCTACGAAGCCTGGCTTCTAGCACTGTTTGAATCAATTTCAAAACAATTGAAGCGGAATGGTCTCTTCCCTGTTCCCTAGCTACAGTAAACGCAGTTGATGCACTTACTAGAGTAAACAGAGCTGTGGAGGAAATTTAAAAAACAAATAATTAAAAATAATTCAATAAAAAACAGGAAAAATAACACCATCTTATCTGGCCCTTTAAAACAACGTTAAGGGTAACTTTTTTTTTTTTTAATAATGTATTCATATTATGTTGACATTTTGTCATGACAAAAGAAAAAAAACTGTAAGGAAACGGTTCTAAAGCCCTAGTGAACTTAAGGTAAATCGTGCAATACAACAGCCGTTACAAAGCTAGACTACACATAATATATTAGTCAATTTGTAATTGGGGATAGCTATATTTATCTGTGCCCATCCAAGCACTTTTACTGTACTAGAGGGTGCACAGAACTGCTGAGGCAGAACCTACTGCAGACGCTCTAAAACCTGAAGATTTAAAGGAACACCGAGCAGCGGCAATGATGCCAGGAGAACCCTGAGGCCAATCCCAATAGAAATAGACAAACCAGTTAAACTTTAAGTCCACCAGGGACCGCGTCCTGTCTCCACTGCAGTCCTCGGAGAGCTGGACGCTTTCTGAACTTGTGTCATTCCTAGTAGTTAAGAAAACGCATTGAACAGCATCTGATGTACCCCAGGTAAAAAGTAAAACCTTTCTAAATAGGTTTTACTACTTATAAAGGAGTTTTCCTTTAAGACCACCTACATTAATAGAAGCAGATGTTGATGGACCCAATGTATGATAGACCCATGAACACAGGCCTTAGCCCATAATACTGGTTTTAGAAGCTGGTACCCCATTAAGTAAAGAACTGAGCCAGTAAGCTGAAACACAGGTTCTCATAAACGTGCATATTCATCGAACAGGGATTTTCTATTTTGATAGGATGAATGTAAAAATCATATACTGCAGCCAGCTTCTCCTCCCTTAATCTTTCTCATTTCTTTACGCTACAAACAGAAGTGACAACAGATTACAGAGGGTTTGACAAATCTTAGAGCTAGGATGACATTGCTCTAAAATTATTACTGCTGTCGTCTGTAAAAGAATTTTGTATTTAACTATTTTCTATCTCTCAAAGAATGTGGTCTGGAAGAGTAAAGAAAGAACGAGGAAAAAAAAGAAAAGAACAAAAAACAAACTTTATTTACAGATGGTCCTTGTATAACCTTTGTTACACATTATTCGCCCTTATTGGTTTATGTATATATTCTACTCTGTATAACCTGTGTTTGCACTAAGCTTTAATTATAAAAAAAAACCCAAGGAAACAAAATACTTAGGCGATTGACATGTTCCAAGTCAGTCGAGGCACGGCCAGGTATACAATGCATTGGCGAATAAACAAAAACATTGTTACTGTATCTCCTCCTTTCTCTATGCTCTAAGGCGACTAACAGGCGCCAGAGCAGACCTTATGACAATACTGACACAGACACAAGATGGAGGCACTCCGTTCTAGATAGTGGCAAATACAGCGGTGGTGATTTACACATTTAATTTTATTTTTATTAGTCTCAAAAACACAAATTTGTCAAATAAATGGGATAAGCAAACATATTATTAAAGATTCTGGGAAGTGATGGGTTCCCCTTTAATTCATTGTCCACACAACTATTGATTTTTAGAATTCTACTGGGAACGGAGGTTTTGAATATATTTCTTCGTGCCTGCCTTAGAAGAAGCACTGCTTTGCTGCTCTGATGCAAGAGAGGAGGCAGCTGTGCCTTAGTTCCCAGAAGTAAAGTCATTTAATCAGACACATGGACAGCCTACGAACCGATCCCAACCAAGAATGTGTGATTAATGAACAGGCAGAAAGGATTATAGATGCATAACAGCCAAGACTACACTCTGAGCTCCAGAATGGAAAAATCTACCCATTAACGGATCATCTTTGGTTATGGCGCACAACAGGTTAATGTCCTCTACCTGAAGGATTAATGCCCTGGGAGAAAGGTTTTTATAGAATCCACATATTAGAATCTGAATACGAGCCATTTTCTCTCTGCACGGACACCAGCTACAAAAAGCCAGCTATTTAACATGACCCACAATACCCTACACAAAATTAACCAACAAGGCTGACACTAATGAAAGGCTTGATTACCCAGAGTTATATTTAATATTGTAAAGCACTACGGAATCTGTTGGCGCTATATAAATGGCAATAATAATAATAATATACATTATATATGTATTAAACACACATACACACACACCATACAATATCCAGTGCACACACTCATTCACTAAACAGCAATTTCAAGTCTCACAGATTGTAATAGTTTTATTTAAAAACACCTCACCTACGCCAGGCGAACGATCGCCTAACAATGGGGCAACCAAACCATACTGTCGATAGAGACCGTGCTCCATAAAAATAGATAAACTATCTGCCCTACTTAACGACACAACCCATAACTTCCACAAAATCTGGGACCCATGGCTCTTGGATCACTTAACACACACTTAAATGGGAATCCGATGACGAAATAACGACCTCCGGACACCAAACCGACCCTAATCCCCATACAACTACCCCCCCGCCTCCCACAACCCCATTGTCCTACTACCCCCTTCCACGAATCACACACCCCCTCCACCACCTCCCTCCTGCCCCCCCATAGGCTCAATTACAATACTAAAAAAAATTAACACTCGCCTCTGGAGGAACACCCATGTGGAAGCGACCCTCCAGCGAACTGCACCCGCAGACATCGTATATACACACTTGATCTAAGACGACCCAAAGGCACCCATTAACCAACACACAAACAGTCGGACGAGGAGTGCCTTGGCTCCATCCAGAGTGGCCCACCCTCACGAGACAACAGATACCGGATGCCCTGGGACCTAATTCCCAACCTTACCATAAATCCCCTTACCGTCACCTGAAACGAAAACTCCATGGCCCCATCAGCCTCCCAAAGCTATTCGTACACACCACAGACTCGAATACCCAGAAGGAAATCATCCCTATGGATCAAGATGCAGAGGCACTACACAGGGCCCCCATAGGCGCCTGTGTAGTGCCTAGACGAAACTCGACGAGAAGCGATCACTCAGAGTTGAAAGATCGCATAATCCCGACTGTAATGTAACATGGATAAATGTCTCAACCGACTATATTACAAAATCCCTACTTTCCATTCTGTATCCCAATCTAAATGATGATAAAACCTGAAAATAAAGAATAAAAAAAAAAAAATACACCGCCCCGAGGCAAAAATAATGGGGGTTTAGTTACATTATATGGTCATACATTGAATAAGCCTGCCACAACGTCAATGTACCCCATTTTTGGCAGGTCCTACTCTAGCAACCTAATGCCGCCTCTTATGAGATTACTTATGAGCACTTACTTGGGAAATGCTTCCTCCTGGGACTCTCTGCAGGTCAAGGCTAAATAGGGCCCTGGAATGAGGCACCTGTGACAGGGAAGGATGAAAATCTGGGAGGTTGTTAGAGTAGGCTCTGCCAAGAATGGGGTACATTGAAGTTGTGGCAGGCTTATGCAATATATGATCATATACTGTAACTAAACCCCTATAATGTTTTGCCTAAGTGAGGTGTTTTTAAATAAAACTATTACATTCTGTGAGACTTGAAATTGCTGTTTAGTGAATGAGTGACTGTACTGGATATTGTATGGTATGTTTGTGTATGTGTGTATAATACATATATAATAATGTATATTATTATCGCCATTTATATAGCGCCAACAGATTCTGTAGCGCTTTACAATATTAAATATAACTCTGGGTAATCAAGCCTTTCATTAGTGTCAGCCAACAGAAAAAACCTTGCACTTCTACTCACAGTCTTTAACACCAGGTGCTTGATAGAACTAAAAACGTATACAAAGTAGAAATTTATCAGCACTCCAGGGATTCTTGAAAAAAAAGTTTCCTTACAAACAGAGTCTCAAACAGTCAACGTTTCAGTTTGGAACTCTCCTCAGGGCAAACACGTATAAATACACACATGCGCTCGCGTGCACACACGCAGAAATAAATGAAAGTGCTTCTACGAAACAGAAATGAAAAGAAGACTAGACGATTTGGTAGAGTGGGGGTGATATTACTGTAACTGCACTCAGCAAAGTTTATGGATTCCATAAAAGCCGACAGTGTGTCTGAATACAATGTGCTTGGTTCACTTCTCAAGTCAAAACACAACTGTAAATCTAAGCAACACAATAACAGGCTAACCAGGCTAAACCCAGAGGCCGAAAAATAGACTGCAAGTGGCGAGAGAATAAAACAAACACACAAGCAACCATCTGCAAATCGCACTGAGATACAATGTGTGAAAGAACAGCCTCTCAGCTACCATGCCCTGTTTTTCACAAGGGTCCCCGAAGAGAAAGGTAATCCTCTATGCTGTGAGCAATGCAGTTTATAGAACATAAAGAATTACCAAAAATAAATCCAAAACATCACCCTCCTATCTCTACACCAAAGCACAGAACCCCAAAGATTTCAGACAGCCATGATCCACATTATTGTTCTCCAAATACCACCGATTTATAATGTATGGGTGAACTTTAATCTGCCGGACAGTCTGCCCTTTATGATAAGGATACAATGAATCTCTAAAGTGTGAGCCATTGCTGTAGACTTACAAAAATGTCACATCAACAAATGTATTTATTTTCTAAACTGAGGACACCAGAGATCACGGCTTAAAAAGGAATTATCCAGTCACCGCCTCCTCGCGGCCAGAGAGATCTGTTTGTGCTGAGAGCATCAGTCAGAGATAAAGCAGAGGCACTGAATGATAACATCATAAAAAGAAGATTAGCTTCAAGACCATGTATCACACACACGCAAACCACCATTGGTATCATTGGCAAGTAATGGGAAGAAGAGAATTGAAATCAAAGCCAAAAATATAAAAAAAAAAAAGGACGAGACAGGGGATAGACTTGTTAGACTAACGGGACAATAGAGCAGGACTGGGCAGAGAATCAAACATAAAAACGGACACCAAGAATGTGGCACGAGAGGAAGAAAATAGCGATGGGGGATATTTTAATGTGAAAAATGTGTATTTGCTGGTAACGTGCACTTATCTCTACAACCAATCAAACAGAATTGTTCCATTAAATCTGAATTGTCAGGATTTGAAAAAGAAAGCAACACTTTAGGGATAAAGATCCACATTGAAAAAAATCTCTAAATCATCTAGTTTGTGGTGGGGCTATTTCTGGGCTAAAACTTGAATTCACTTTAAATTCTCGACATATACTTTAGTAAATAACCCAGAAAGTGTTTCTTGGGGTAGTCCTGGTTCCTTTAATTCCGTGTCTTTTTTTGTGTGAAAGATACTGAAATGCATTTTTTTTAATGCCATTTGAGAAAGCCTATATTGGTGAAACGCGTAAATATTATTTTATATTGCGTATTTTAGATCATTTAAAGGTTTTTGGTTACTTTACTGTGCCAATTCTCTTTTTATTGTATTCTTATGCACTTTTGCTAGTTTTAATTTCCTGGCTTTTTACTGCTGTTCCTGCACTAAAAGAAATCCCAGGTGGGGATCATACCACCAACGCTTTACAAATAGAGCAGTGTTCCTGCTCTATATCTATGAGTATTATTTTACTTACCTTTACACACTTTTACCCAATTTAGAGCACTATTGTCGCCTCTTTTTATTCCCTTTGGAGCTTTTGATAGACGCACTCCCTCCACATATCCGATCAGTGAGGATTATATCGCTGTACGCCCTTCACACCAGAGCTGGCCATAGCTCGATTAAATGTGAGTTCTTTACCTTCTACTATTTTACTCGTTGGATTTTAGACGTATTGCACTACTGGCTGCCCCTGTTTTCATATATGTGAATACCCTGAGACAATAGGATGTCTCCATTTCTACTGAAGAGTCTACTCATCTACATTCCATCAAGTACGATTACTCTAGTGAGACTCTTATTGGACTATTTAACATTATTTTATTTTACTTTCCTGCTGGCGCAGCCCTACCCCATTTCTTTGTATTTTCTCATTTGTTGAAGGATTTAAGGGGTCTACTTTGTTTGGGTTGCTGCCTGCCTACATATTGTTTGTTAAATTAGCGCTGATTTCCTTTTGTATTTTGTGAAATGCAATGAGACTAGAAAAATAAAAATAAAAAAGTTCTGGATGTGCATTTAGATTGATAAACATAACGTTAATAGCTCACAGAGCCCAAAGTCTATAGGGACACTCAGATTTTAGTATACATTCAGCATGAAAAACAATAAAATGGAGGAAGGCGGACAGTATGTCTACATGCTACTAAACCTTAATTAAATAAATGTTGCCACCAAAAATTACTGTCTAAGCACCCTCTAGAGTAGACAACAAGTATGACCACAATTACAAGATGAAGGGGATGGAAATACTATAAATATTTCTTAAACAGATCCAGTGTTCGATACCAGAGTGCGAGGGACATGGTTAAGTGGAAGAGTTGGTAGATGCCCCAGCTGTTGTTGGAACATTTATAGAGCTACCAGTGTCCACGCCGGTCTAGTGACAAAGGCACAAGGTCCAGATGCAGAGTCCAGCATGGAGGCGTGTTAACACAGCAGCAATGAGTACATTTTATTTAAGAATGTGAGGAATAGGAGATTGTTATAAGAAGAGGAAGAGAAACGAAAAAAAAACAAAAAAAAAAAAAAACACCACCAACAAAATCAGATCTGCCACTGTGCATTGGCATAGTTGGATTAGGGAGGTTTGATGAGGGCAAAGCTTCAACAATAAAAATAATTAGGAGGATATATTTACATTGTACAAGAAATATTCAAAATTCAAAAGCTTTATTGATATACTTTGTCACAGCAATGGATTGCATTGAGATATATATATATATATATATATATATATATATATATATATATATGTTAATATGCACATCGGAGAGCCACACAACATTTCTTCTTCCCCTCAGCAGTCACCCCCTAATTACCCCCAAAGCATATTATCTTCATCTAAGCACACATTTCCGATCAAACCCAAACCAGATAGTCTGCCGCAAAAATAATTTTCCATCTTAGCGGGAGCTCTGCCTGTACCAACAGCACCTACCCCAACACGCCATGAATGACAGGCAGCATGGGATCAGGACCTCAGCTGGTATGACGTGTACTTCGAGCACAGATGTGAGGAACATACATAATACCGGGAAATGCTCTGTCTCTCTGAATATATCACTAATTAGCAAAATTAATCTTCACGCTTCCCATCGCCTGTCATTGTGTTTTAATTAGCAGTTTCTATCTCCCAGTGAGTGTGTGTACATGTGTACGTATAAATATATATGTTCCCGTGCATCTTCTTAACTAAATTGGTCCTTTTAATATATTTAAATGATTACACATCTTGTATATGAATTGGTAATATCCTCCGGAAACAGTCTTCTGGATTTGTGCCAGTAAAGGACTGCTATATCACTCCAGATGTTGCAGACTATGGCTCTCGTGACGATCAGCCAGTCTCAACAGCTAAGCATCAGGGATAGCAACTAGAGTAAGAAAGGTTAACCATTACAGTAGCAGATCCCTTGGCTTGACGTGCTAAGAGCATGATGGGAGTTGTAGTTCAACAGCTGGGGTTATTTACCTTTTGACCACAACTGTCCTAGGCTATTAAAGGGTTACTCTAAACATCATTACCAATACATCCCACTGTAATGGCTATGATGCCAGCAGTACCATGGTCTGGTTCCCTGTTAATGGGGCCAATTGTTTAGCAATGGTTTGCCCTTTACCTGGGTCTTTGCCCGGCTCTGATGCTCCCTGGTGGCCCAGTAAAACCACTATGATCGCCATAATTGGCTGAAAGTGTTGGCTGATCGCTCTTAGTCAATGACTGTCGTTTTGTGCAACAGTTGTTGCGCAGAATTGACACTAGCTACCCCAAACTCTATGACACTGCAGGAGGTGGAGTTACAACTCTGGCAGCAGAGGGGTTAATCTCTGTATGTGCAGCGCGTCATAACGAAAC